TTCTATATTTTTGATGTGAAAAGTTTTTGTTGGGCAAAGAAAATTTAATTTCATACTCGTCATCTTTTTTTTAAAAAAAAAAGAAAGATTTTAAGTGATAATATCAGATTAATAAAAAAAAAGAAAAAGTATTTGAGATAAATTAACCCATGTTTTTAGTCCGTTTAATAAAAAAGTGACGTTTTATTTTTTAAATAAGTGAGTATTATTAATGACCTCAGATATTAGAGGAATATATATGTTTTGTAATCATTACTTATAATTACTGAATTTATTTTTATTAGAAAAGTTCGTTGGTTTTCTTATGACAGCAATTATTTATTGCTTGCTTTGAAATAACCAAGGAAATATTAACAATGATAAGCTTATCAAAAAAAAAAATGGAAAATCTTTCTTTTGTCTTCAAAAGTATTATCCGGAGAGTTTTGCTATTAAAACATAACTTTGATTAATTTCCTTTTAAACCCCTTTTGTGCAATAAAATATTAATTTAAAAGAAAAGAAATATTCCTGGGAAGATTTCTGTGGTAAGTAGGATTAATTTTCAATGAAAAATGTATAGATAAAAATTTGAGATTTGCAAATATAATTTAAAATTGTTGCTATCGTAGTTAAAAATGGATTTCGATTATTCATGTAAATTTTTATTTCATTGAATGCACCAGAATCTTTGAAGTTAACTAAAAAGAGATAGCTACCAAGTTAGGGCAGGTATGGTTATGTTAGTTTTGCAATCTGGTAAGTTTCTCCATATGAACACTTAGGCTATATGCACTCTACAGATATTGTCCCTAACATTATTTAAAAGCTGTTTTGGCTACAGGGACCAACAGTGAACCAACGAAGCGGTTTTTATGGTAAATTAGTTAAATAACGCAACGGCTTCATTTGCTGAGTCGTAAATTGCAAATAAATTAATATGATATTTTTTATTTCCAATGGAAAGTTTACAGGAGAACAGGTATAAAAAATAAATTCAAAGAACAGGATATAAATAAATGACCATAGTTAATCCATCAATTTAAATCTGGCAATCATCATAATTTAGTCCATATCCCATCTGTAATTGTTTAGACCTGTGAAGGCCGAACAAACAATCACTAATTTCATGAGATCTCATTATCCATGACACTAATATTTTTTGTTATCGGGTTTGATGTAGAAAACGCTAATTGCATGTTATATAAATATTCCCTTATCGGCTGTCAAATTTGATGAATAAGTTGTTATTATGTAGTTTTTAAGTGATAAGTCATGGTCATGTTAGATTTGCAATCTGGTAAGTTTTTCCATTTGAACACTTAGGCTATATGTACCTTACAGATGTTGTCCCTAACATTATTTAAAAGTTGCTTTGGCCACAGAGACCAATAATGAACCGAAGAAGCGGTGTTTATGGTAAAGGAGTTGAATAGCTTAACGCGTTCATTTGTTGAGTCGTAAAATTGCAGATGAATTAATATGATTTTTAATTTCCAATGGAAAGTTTACAGGATAACATATAGTATAAAAAAATAAAGACAAAGAATAAGATATAAACAAATGACAATAGTTAATCCATCAACTTAAATCTGGCAATCCCTCATGACGTAGCCCATATCCTATTAGTAAATCTTTCACCGACCTGTGAAAGTCGAACAAACAATCACTAATTTCATGAGATCTCATATCCATGACACTGATTGTTTTCTATCAGATTTGAGGGACAGGTTTTTCTCATTAGAAGACAACGCTGATTGCATATAATATAATAATCCACTTATCCACTGTCAAATTTGATAAATATGTTTTTATTATGTAGTTGTGAAAGAATATACATCCCTCTCTCCCGGGAACCAAAGTGTACAACTCTTTTCGTGGGAAAATGATACAATAATCATTCTAAAGAAGACAGACAGACATTTTTCTTACATAAAAGTCAAAATCTTTAAAGAAAATTGAAATAAAAGATCGAAGAAAATTAATTTTATCAATAAGAATCATATAAATTGATAAAGATATCTGAAAGCAATTAGAATTCACAAAATGAATGCAATTTTAAGGTAAAATATATTGAAAAAATATACTCATTTTGGGGGACGATGAATTCCAATTACATTCAAATTTAGGAGATAATTAATTTAATAATCCTAAAAGTTAATTTTCCTGAAGATATAATTAACTAATTCAATCATGAAACTCGCTCTTCCGTAAGGAAGAAAAATTTTAACTTGGAATAAGTGATACAATAATTAATTTTTTTATATGACAACCTGGTATCTATAAAAGATGTATTTTGCTGTTAAATTGCAATGAAAATTCTGATTATTAATTAAAAACAATTTAAATTGCTGTAGTTAATGTTAGAAATCTGTTGCAAGACATTTTATTTACGCATATTTGATGTGAAAAGTTTTTTGTTGTGCAAAGAAATTTAATTTCAGACTCTTCATCTTATAAAAAAAGGAGATTTTTAAGTGATAACCTCAGATTAATTAAAAAAAATAATAATAATTTGAGATAAATTAACCCATGTTTTTAGTCCGTTTAATAAAAAAGAGACGTTTTATTTTTAAAATAAAGGAGTATTATTAATGACCTCAGGTATTAGAGGAATATAAATATTTTGTACTCATTACTTATAATTACTGGATTTCTTTTATTAGGAAAGCTCGTTGATTTTTCTATGACAGCAATTATTTATGGCTTGCTTTGAATTGATCAAGAATTATTAACAATGATAAATTTATCAGAAAAATGAAATATCTTTCTTGTATCCTCACAAGTATTATCCGGAGAGTTTTGCTATTAAAATATAACTCTGATTAATTTCTTTTTAAACCCCTTTTGTGCAATAAAATACTAATTTAAAATAAAGGAAACATTTCTGGAAGATTTTTATGGTAAGTATGATTAATTTTTAATGAAAAATGTCGATAAAATTTGAGATTAGTGAATATGATTTAGAATTGTGGTTGTCCTAGTTATGCGGATTACTATTATTCATGTAAATTTTTATTTAATTGAATGTACCTGAATTTCTGAAGCTAACTGGAAAAAAAAAGCTGTCAGGATTGCGCCAGTTATGATCATGGTAAGTTTTTCCAGTTGGCCATCCTCCATTTAACCTCCATTACAAATGTTGCACTTAAGGTTACAACTGTTGTTACAAATATTGCTCCTAACGATGTTCTAAAATGTTACAAATGTTGCTCCTAAATGTACCCTACAAATGTTGCTCCTCAGGCTATTTAAAAGATGCTTTGGCCCTTTGGCCACAGGGACGTATAGTGATCCACAGAAGAGGTACATTTAATGTAAAAGTAGTTAAGTAACTTAACGTGTGCATTTGTCGAGGTTTATACTGTAAATGAATTAATTAAATTTTTTTTATTTCTAATGACAAGTTTACAGGACAATAGATATCATAATAAATAAAAACAAAGAACAAAATAGAAACAAATGACCAGTTAATCCATCCACTTAAGTCTGGCAATCCAATAACGCTTCCATAAAAACAGGAGGCAGTGCAGAACAGGAAGCAAAGTGAGACAAATTCATTTCTTCCTGGTTAACGCACAGGAGACCGAGAGGGTCAGGATTCAGTTTTTGCAGAAGGTGCTTTTGTGGAGAAAATCGTGAAAACAGAAAAGTCATAGACGCCGACGATAATGGGACGTCCTTGTGGACACCTGCGTTCCACTGCAGAATTCTAAAAACTAACATTAAGAGTAAGACTGAAAGCCGTGTTTATACATCATTTTGCTAGATAAGAAGTTGCCAGGAGTACAAGAGGGAGGTAGATCTACGTTGCACTTGAATTTGAATTTATTTGCGGAATAAATAATAAAGAATGTATATCTGTACACATAAAATCATCTATTTCTTTTATAAGCTTGCTTAAAATTAATCTTCAACATAATTTTTTTTGTTTGAATAGATATATTGTATTTATCGGGTAGATTCAGATTGTAGATTGTGACAATTATATTTGAGTATATTTTAATGGCATATTCAAAGATGTACCTGTTATATATATATATATATATATTTCCAGGATATAATAATATCTTGAATAATAAGTATAATATTTTTGATATAATAACAAGTATATCCTTGGACTGAGTAACTGAATAGTTATATTCCATGATATAATTGCAGCGATATTCCTGGATTTAGTATATTCCACGACTGATTAAGTATATTCAAAGATTGAATAGGTATATCCCAGGATTTAATAGTTAAATTGCACTATAAAATAGCAGGTATATTCTTACAAGTTTATATTACACAAGTATTATATAACAAATTTTTTAATACACAAGTTTTAGGATAAGGAGGATATAGAACTCAGGTAGTTTCATTTTACTGGAGGAAGATGTAAAAACTCAGAGTAGTTCTCAATAATTCAGTTGATGAAACTATTTATCATGAAGTGCAAATTTAATTTTAATCGGGCTTGAGCAAATATATTTGACTAAAAAAACAAGTTATTGTTAATTTTGAAAATATTTATTTAAAATATTATTATTATTATACATTATTAAATATTAATAAATAATAATTAATATTTATTTGAATAAAAATGATCTATTTTATTTAATTTTTTAATAATAATGTTATACTCCTATATATTATATACAAATATACGTTTATATACATACATTATATATACTAATATACTATTCTTTAAAATAATTGCCATTATTACTGTCTTTAATTTTTTGTTGTTGTTGTTGTTTCTTATCCCACTTGGCTGGCCAAGCCCACGAGCCCATACGTACTCGTGATTGAAGGGGAAGGAAGCAGCTTCTGTTGTGATGGATCACCCGTAGGTAGAAGTCTGACTTTGACTCCGTGACGCTCTTACAGTCATAGGAGACCGGGACCTACGGCTTAAAGTGGATTCCGAACCACTACAAACATCCATGGCACCGCCGGGATTTGAACCCGAAACCTGTGGCACCGAGCGCCAGAGCGCTGGACACTCGGCCATTCAGGTCCCAAATTTGTGAATGCCAACTACACGCGGTGTTCCCAGGTGGTGACCCACCCAGGTGGTCACCCACGCCCAATGATGCTTGACTTCGGTGATCTAACGAGAACCGATATATTCAGCATTGTATGGCCGTTGGCTCTTTAATTTTTAATAGATACAATGAATACTAGTTTTATATTTTATACAATTTTAGTTTTGTTCATGAAAATATGCATTAAAAATTGATTAAAAAAATCTACCTTTATAAAGAAAACACATAATTTTCCTTTTTGTAAGCATCATTTCAACCCTTCCTATTACTCAAAATGGTTATTTTAATCGTCAAAATTCCCATTTGCTTAAACATCTTCTCGAACTGTAGAGGGCCCATTCTTTTAACACAATACTTGTGCTCCATCAAATTAAATTTCGTATAAAAATTTCCAGTCTTTGTGCTCTACATAATGTCCCTAAAAGAGTGCGGAGGAAAAAAAAATAAAGGTTTCAGGACGAAAATTAACCTCCATAATAGGATTGAATTTTTCAGGGCAAGAGGGAAAAAAAAAGAAATTTAAGAAAAGTGTCGTGCACTTAATTAGAAGCATCAAAAAACTAAACTAAAAATACATCGACACAAAAGCTTCCGGTATCTGGATTAAAGCTTAGGTGCACGAAATAAATCATCCTGTTTTTACATAACTTTAAATAGTTGATTGCATATAGAGTTTATAAATTAAAATTTTAAAACCTGGAAAATTTATTTCAAGTTACATTTAAAATCCAGAATACATTTAAAAGATCTGAAAGAAATTTAGGATGAAAAATTCTTTTTAGACTGATATATGAATCTAAGTTGATCCAAGACTTAAGAAAAAAGAATCTGTATATGGAGTAAGGAATAATGAAGTTTTATTCTTCATATTTGTCAGTAAATAAGTAATGATGAAGTTTCTGTAACAAGTAAGTTTACGATATGCACAATTAATGCATATCAGAATGAAGAAGAAGAAACAGAAGATAAAAAGTTGAATTTAAAAAGGGGTATAGTTCCCTTCATTGTCCCTCCCAATTTCCTTAAATATTAAGCTAATTCTATTAAATTAGGGAATTTTACATAATATGTAAAATTAAAATAATATATTTTTTGAATTTTGGTTATAGTGAATATACTTAAAAAGGAAGAAGTAAAGAAAATTTGCAGTTACTATATTTATAAGCTAATCTATTTATTATTTTTAATGTAAAATAAAGAACAATATATTTATAACAGTTGTTAAATTTTATTTAAAAAAATGAAATTTGAATTTAGTCAATTTAAATCAAGTACGATCTTTACTTTTGGTTCTTATGAAAGTAGTTTCTATTCTGATTTCCATAAATGTAAGAAAGTTCACAAAATGTTCAGATCAAATGACTTGATTGAAAAAACCGACAAACACATGCGAAACTTCAGTATGTTAATAAATAAAAAGTACTGAATAAATCTGCAAATTCAAAATAACAACACTGCAGTAAGATTACGTCAATTGTCATGTTTTATTGCGATATTTAGTTAATAAATCGAGTATATAAATTCTTTATAATGATTTCGAGTCATTATTTGCAACAAGATCTGCATGGAGTACCGACGTGAGAAAATATGAAATTTATAGATTTTGGGAAGCATTTAAAATCACAAATTCGACACTTGAAGGTTAACCAAAGAAGTCAGACCAAAAAGTTCTTTTTAAGTGCATTTGATCGATGTATGCAATTATGAACACAATTCCCTTCCAAACTAACTGTGCGCAGTAGACTTTATGAAGACAGTTTATATGCAATATGACCAGATACTTGAAATGAAAACGTCTAACACCAATGACGGATTTTCATCTTTCTGGATGAGCCCGACTTTAATTTGCAAACGTTGTTTAATTTTGAGAGAACGGTGTATCTTGTTATCACTTATTAAAATACATATTGATATGGCAGTATCTTATGAAAAGATGCATAGACGTTCGCCCCTTATGTGTTTCCACATAGAACAGTGTTCCTATTTAAGAAAGAAATATGCTATTTGTTATATAGAAATATGCTATTTGTGCAACGAATGGTAATTTATTTGACAGGTCCACAACGTTAGACCACGCAGATCTGCACTGTTAAATATTATCTTTCGCAGTTCAGCCCATGAAATGTTTATCTAAATCTTTGAATATGAATGCTAATAGGAGCACGTTTGATATATAAAACGTAAGAAACTTGTAACCACTCACCATAATACACTTTGCTGGACACTTTTCACTTTAGAACAGCCATACATTTACAATTAATGACTTTATTTCCAATTAATTCAAACAGCTCCATTTGCCTTCTTTTATTGTTGCCTGAATGAGCACTGGAACTGCACTTTTTCGCGTGCTCTCACGTCGCCTGTGATATGTTGTTCTTCATATTTGCATAAGAAACAACTGAATCTACTGAATTTGGGGATCATTGTACTGACCCTAAATAAAACCCTTTTTCTACAATTTAACAGTTTGCTTTAAAATTACATCGTTGCTTAAGTTTTGCATCCAATGAATGTTCTTCTATTTATTCATTCGTTTACCCGTTTCTAAATTTTCATTTCGTATTGTATACCTAGCATAACATTTCATTACGATTTCACGAGGGTGACCATCACGATTTTTATATTGTAATGTTGCACAACTTGAACAAAATGCATTTCAAAAGTTTAGTTTTGTACCAATAATTTATTATAAATTATCGTACAAAATTAAACTTTTGAAATGAATTTTTGTACCGATAATTTAATCACCTAATCTATAATTTAAGTACCTAAGATAATTTAATCCCCTAATCCGATAATCCCTAATCCTAATCTTTTTATAGGCATTCAATTTAATGAAAATGTATTTAAATTAATTGACGGTGCTGCCAACTCTTCAAACGAGTAAAAGTGTCACTTTCCTATCCGTCAAAGAACCATTCATTTTTTTTAGTTAAATCTGCATATATATGTTTATAAAGGGTTTTATGCATACAGAGTTAGCTAAATTTATAGTGCTCGTATTTTAAAATCTTTTATAGTTTGACTAAATAATGTATCAGTCAAATTGCTAATAATACGAATTAAAAAATATTATCTTTAAGGAAAGTAGTTTATTTATCAATTTAAATAACGATCAAAAACTCAACTAGGTATTAAACCTCACCCATATTATTGTAAGCGCAGAACAATTTCCCAAACAGAAGCGAAAGAATGCAATGTATTAACCATCAGCACAACCTTATCTACTCCCAAATCACCGCGGAACAGTGAATGTGGTTATTTTGTATCCGGAAAAAACCATTCATTTTTTTAGTTAAATTTGCATATATATGTTTTTAAACACACAGATTTAATTAAATATATATGTATAAATCATACATGTATATGTAAATAAATGCAAATGTAAATATATAAATGTATATGCTATAAAAAAGTCATAAATGTAAATGTGTAAATGTACATAGATATATTCAATAAATGTATAACTCATATTTCAAAATCTTTCATAATTTGACTAAATAATGTCTAATGGTTAATTGCTAAACAGAAGTAACAATATTTAAGAGAAGCTGTTTATTTAACAATTTAAATAACAATCAAAAATTCATCTAGATACTAAACCTCACCCGTATTGTTATTAGAGCAGAACAATTTCCCAATCAGAAGCGAAAGAATGCAATGCATTAACCATCAGCGGAACCTTATCTACTCCCTAAATCACTGCGGAACTGTAAATTTATCGCTGGAAAAGTGGAGTCACTCCTTGCAAAAAAGCTCCATTTCTTTCCTTCAACCTCATTTTTCATTGTTATCGCATCAAATCAAAAACAAAGTCGCGCTTTCACACGCTTCGTCGGGAAATTTCCCGAACAAGAACTCGAAACCAACATGGCAGTCGCGTGTCAGTGGTGCTGCCATCGATTCCACATAAATCATTTTACCCGGTTAGATATTAAGACTTTTGTTTGAAATCGAATTGAGCTCCTGCTATTTGGCAGCTTTGTGTATTGCGTTTCTCGTTGCCAGTCTGTGGGGAAAAGTTTTGTTTTCTGAGATTGTTGAATCAAATTTTCTGAGAGAATGATTGAAATCTGACTTTAATTACCAGCAGTTCCTAATCTCTTTGGAATGACGGTTCGAGTTCGAAGGGAAAAGTTCCGATTTCGAATTTGAGCAGTTGAGCGAGAAAATTTTACACCGGGAGTTTAATCATGTAAATTGCTTGTCGTACAGCAATTTGAATCTAGAACTTCAAGGAACATGAGGCTATTTATTATTTTTTATCTTTTGAATTATGATTTAAACCCTTGATTTTTAATCAAGGCACTATTAGTAATATTTTCTATGTTTTGATGTATTAAAATATTCTTATAGCGCACTAATCGTAACTACAAAATAAAATAACTTATTTTTTTTAGTCTTAAAACGCTTTTAAATGTGCCTATACATAAAAAATTCAATTATAAATGTGGTAATAATTCAATTAAAGATATCATATTTTTCCTGCCACTCTTTGAATTGCACTAGTTATTATTTTTTTTAATGTTATATTGAAGTATTGTTTTAAATAACATCGTTTTTACTTAATTACAGATGGTTATTTACTCTAAAATGAAATCCATAGCCATAAAAATCACAAAAATACTACTTCATTATAAAAATAACCTTCAATATTGATGAAATGAATATCGATCTCTAGTAAAAATATTATAACAAATACATACTAAAAGTTATTTCGTTAAATAATGCAAGTAATTGTAAAACAACTTGTTTCAACCCCAAGTCATTGATATCTAGTACAATATTTCTTATAGAGCTGGTAAACAGAAATGCTTATTTTTAGTTATGTACCATTAACTGGAATAAAAAGAAACATATTCTCCAATCCATCCATATTTAGGGCTTACACAAAAATATAGAAAATCATTCCATATGAAAACATACAGGAACTATTATTATTCCAGAGATAAGCAAAAAAGGTATGGTTTGAATAAAATGGACTAGGAACCATATTTCTTTAGATATTCATATATTCAAGGAATGGGCAGACTTATAAATAAAAAAAAAAAAAATTGGATGCTGGATCTTTGTATATATACTTGCAATGGAAGCATAAACCGG